ACCAAAAAGGACTTGTATCTCCTTGTTCCAAAAATACCCCTGAAGACCTTCCATTTGAATTCTTTCCTGATGACTGTCAAATTGGCCTTGATTGTGATATTTTTGTTCAACTCCCTGAAATAAATGTAAATTACGAAAAGTGAGTAGAATCTAATAATTAATCAACATCAGGTCAGGTAATAGGAAAAATTAATAATAAAATAAATGATAAAATTACAACCTATCAGAAATTAAAGAATAAGAGTCAGGAGAATATTGATTAAAGAATGGGGGATATGTCACCGCATTTGGAGATTGTTTACTGGATTCATTTATTTGAACAATTTGATATTGGGGTTCCATTTCTTGTACTTCAATTCCCTTTTCAACTGCATCTTTAGATTCTTTTTCTTGACACTCATGCAGTTTCATGTCATTTGTCAGGAAAATTGTACTCTCATATTCTTTAAGGTCATTGATGGTCTATGAGAGCAATTCTTCATAAATTGGGGAAATCAATTTACTCATTGTAGATGTCAATTCACGTCTTCCATATTCCATCTCTTTAATCATCCTTTGTGTCTCCTGTTGAAATTGATATTTGTTAGTAGCTATTAATTCAACCATTTCTTCAAGAGACATACCTGACATGGATGATGGCTATCGCTGTTGATATTGATATTGAAAATCGATTGGCTCTGGTGTATAATTAAAGTTGGAGTTGTTCCATCATCCGTGATCATACCCGTTTGAATAAGGGTCATACCACATTTGATATTGAGATAGAAAATCTCCAAAAGTGTCGATTGGAGTACTCAGGCTATCTTAAAATGTGGGGTATATGTCGGTTGAATGATCTGAGACAAAATAACTTTCATAATTTGCAACAGTCAATTGATCATTAGAAAAAGTATGAGTCTCATAACCCCTTCTAGAAATAAAATCCAGTCCATCACCAAAATACAGAAAATTAGCAGCCATAAATAGTTAAAACAAAGAGAAAAAATAGAAATGAAAATAAGATGAATTAAAAAAGAAACAAATTAATCAGGCACCAGTTCCCCGACAACGGCGCCAAAATTTGGTGGCTGTCAAACTATCAAAAATAAAATTTATATCAATACCTACTCCCAAAACTGAACGAGTATAGTGGTGAGTAGGGTCGTCTCCTCAGGGAACTAGTAGATTTATCATACACAGAGAATTTGAAAAATTTTAGAAAGGAAGACAAGAAGAACAAATTAAAGATGTAAGAGTACTGAATTTCCAATCGCAAGAAAGTGCAGTAGTTAAAGAATATAATAAACAATTAATTGAGACAACTTAGTCAAGGAGATAATTTCGGCACCGGCTCATGCAATTAATCACAGATCCCTGGAATAGTTCACACGTTCGTAAATAAATTAGTTCTAGCAATTCAGCAACCGCCAAACTACCAATCTCTCCTTAATTATATGATGGTTCAGAGACACTCTTAAACTACCCCCTTGAAAAATAGATAACGCCAGAGACACTCGAAAGATTTAATCTATTCACAGTTTTAGGAATTAGAGAGACCCAATTCTATTTAACAAACACACATGCGAGTTCATTTAAACTAGATTAACTATTCCTACGACACAGATTAGACTGCTTGCGAGGCAATGAAATTGTGCCGTTTGCCACTAATTTTAAGACAATCAAGTGATATGCACCCCTGTCCTAATTGGCAGTGTACTATTCAAACAATTGAATAACTGACCACATAATCCAATAGATCCAAACAACAATAGGCTATTAAAACAAGAAATAATTAAATACTCACGAATGCAGAATTTAAAATCACGCAGAACAATTAAAAAGATCTCACAATTGTCCGTGCACCAGACCTTGACTATTTCTCAACTAAGTAAAGGAACCTAGCCTTGCCTCATAACGATGATGCAATCCCAGGCTTTAATGTACTTTTGTTGATGAAAAAGAATACAGCGGCTAAAGAGTCTCTAACTCCTGTTTAGAGGGAAAAAGGGAAAAAGATCCAAGATCAAAGATAAAAACTCCTAGTCTATTGCTATCCTATTTAAAGTCTCCCCGCCACACTTTACCAATCGAGAGTTTGTTTCTATAAAGGATAGTTTCGAGAGTTTGTTTCTATAAATGATAGCTTCCTTATTTTTCTCCTTGAGTTGTTGCCAAAGGTATTCTCTGAAGATGTTTCCTAATCCCACGCAATTTCAAAACACGTCTCCCAAGAATAGTTGCAGCTTCTAGGGATAAGTCTCGCGGTCCGTCTTTTGGACGTAATTCTGCGGTCTCTAGCGTGGGCACACTCAAGAATGAATAGTCTTCTGGAATTTGGCCTCTTTTCACCATTTTTGACACCAATCGCCTGCAACTGACACAAATACCAATTATGAGCAGAAACCTATTACTTTGCATAATAAGTGGCCAAAATTGAGACCAAATACCATCAAATAACATACACAATTGTCTCACTATCAATGTGATATATGTGAAATATAAATGTGATTAATAAGATAAAAATGTGATTGAAAAACTATTTGTGATGCAATAAAAAAATTGCAAATAAAAACCTATCCAACAACAATATAACACTCAAGAGACATTGGACTTAAGTAAAATATCATCAGTTTTTTCTTCTAAGAATGCATTAGACTTTTCTTCGAAAGAAAAAAGGCATTTATTAAACATTTCTACAACTTGGGTGACATTTAACCTTTTTTTTTTGGCAAAAAACCTCAGCAGCCACTAAACTATTCGTCAGATCATGTTTTGGCTATCAAACTATTTTTCGTCAATAATTGATCACTAAATAACTTAATCAGTAAACCCGTGACCATTTGATCAATAATTATTTTTAATCTGTGAAATTAGCAGTACACGTGACCAAACGCAGGGGCAATTTTGTCTAGCAACTACGCGATCCTATTCTCCCCTGAATTTCTTTCCTCAAACAATCACCGAATGGAATATTATGTGGAGGAAAAATAGGGACTCAATTAGGAGTCTCAAATCTTCAAACACAAATCAAAGATATTAGCAAGGGTCGTATTTTTCCACTGGGGGATCTGAGCAGTATTTTTCCATTTCCAAAAGTGATGTTCCACTAATAACAATATACATATTAAGAAGGGCCGTACCAGTCCAAGATCATCAGTTAATGTATCCAGCACTTGCTCAACTCCATCGCATCCGGCTGCTATGTATAGAGGAGTCAACCCTGACATCGGTCTAAATACATAGCAGATTCGACTTAATTTTTCCAGTCTGCATCTGGATGGTATCTTAGGAGGACTTCAACCATGGACCTACAATTTTGCCGAACAGCTCTATGGAGCAACCCATTTTCCAGCAATGCATTTTCAATTGAAGAGCGTTTTTCTTCACCCATGAGTTTGTTGACCAGAACATTCAAAAGCATCTTGACCACTGTACACCAGTCATGTTCGACTGAGAACTCTATAGGCCATCTAAATCGCTGGAAGGGAAATGTATCCAAGTTGGAATCTTGTAGACCCAATCTAAACTTCAACTTACTTCTAGGAGGAGCCAACCAATTTCATGTATGAAGTCCGGAGCTTGATTCCTGGCTTCTAAATTTTGGTTGTCTTTCCAATGGTTCCCACGATCATTGAGTTGATCTTTCATATGTTGTTGGATCATACCATTCCCAAAAGCAACATCCCTCATCCTGCAATTTACATTCCAAGACTAAATCCTCTTGTTATAACATCTCCTCTTGTTATGGCTTTAGGAGAGTGCCTAGCATTCTTCGTCTTCTTTTTCGGCTTCTTCGATTTGTGATTGAAGATTTAGGGCTCCCAATTGAGTAAATTAAGGGGAGAATAGGGTCACATAGTTGTTGGATAAAATTGCCCTCGCATTTTGCCACGTGTACTGCTAATTTTACAGATTAAAAGCAATTATAGATCAAATGGTCACGGGTTTATTGATTAAATTATTTAGTGGCCAATTTCTGACGAAAAATAATTTGATGGCTAAAACATGATCTGACGAATAGTTTAGTGGCTGCTGATGTTTTTTGTCCTTTTTTTTTTTTCTCTTAAGGTAGAGTCCTCAATGAGTAATAGAGTTTCTACCACAAAGAAGTATGCCCAAACATAGAGCCTAGGTTTCCTAGATTGGTGAATTTTTGTGCTCTTGTTTGATGTCTGAAAAATGTTTATCAAGTGTGACATCCCATATTTTTCTGCTTCAATATATTCAGTTCATAGGTTTTAGATCTAGTAAGCTTTAGGCCAAGTTTCATGTTTGAGGGGGAAAAAGGAACGTCTAGTGTTAATTCCTCTTAGATTCACATTTTAGCAAGTAACACTGCATTAGTATGCATGACTAAAGAAGTGGCTAATTTTCATTTAAACAGCTAAACAATCATCTTATCGAAAACTGGTAACAAAAGTAATTTAACAATTGATTAGCTAATCATTATGCATAAGCATTAAAAAAGGACGAGAAATTAAGTGATGATAATAAGGATATAAATGTAGACAACAAAAAAAAGTTTAGGAAGAAATAACTCAAACTAATTAGATTCAATTAATTCCTAAAACTTATAAGCAGTCGAAAGAAAACATTAAGAATTTGCAGGGTGTTTAAACTCTCTTTTGAGATTGATAGCAACTAAAGCCTTGGAAGATATTGTGAGTGGGTTACAAAATTCCAGTTTTTCCCAATCAATGAAGCTGATCAAAGGACTACTATGTAAGGAGGGTGAGTGACTTTTACATTCACTTGATGCATAATCGAGTGAATTAATTAGGAAATTGTCTTTTACCCTATCAGGGACTATCAAAATTATTTAGATTATAATGTTAACATATTCTTCTAATGGCATGAAATTTATCAAATATAAAATACAAAACAGAAAGAGGTAGAGAATATAAGAAATTTAACACAAATGAAATGTAAATGCAATCTCTTCTCTCAGACGTACATAGCAACTGGGCTGCACCACCAATCTCATAGCAGAAAGAGGTAGAGAAGCAATGATCATGAATGACCTATCTTGCACTTGGAGCGGTGTCTATCTCAAGGCCATCATCCTGCGGAAAATCTTCAGCCCTTGATGCTATCTCTTCAGATAGCTCTATTGCCAAACACTGCTTTAGTTCAACAAGTAACTCCATGCCACTCATCCTCTGACTAGCCATTGCCATTGTACACGTCATGGCGGCCTCCAAAAACTTCCAGGCCGAGTTTATGTTGAACTTTCCTTTCAGTTTTGGATCCATAATTTCATGAATGTCTCCCCTTTCTACCCTTTTGTTCACCCATTCAACAATGTGAATATTGACATCATCGGTGCCCTTTATGATGGCTGGTTTTCCAGTGATCAGTTCCAATAAAACGATGCCGAGGCTGTAAACATCACTTTTCTCATTGAACTTGAAGGTGTAGTTATATCTGAAAGCCAATTTAGATGTCATTAAAGGACACCAATGCACATAATATATAGTTTTACTTTGAAGGATACAAAATCTTGAAAAAAAAAAATTCTTAGACAGTTTGGTAGGGATGGAACCCGGATTTTGGTTTAGAGAAGGGGCGAACAGTCAAACACAAACTAATATTCATCATAAAATCTAGATTATAAACTTGAATAAGAATATATAGTTTTACTGAATATTTTTTTACAACTTAGGACGAAAATATTTTGAGAATGGAAAACACAATTTATGAGCCTCTAAAAAATATTATAATATGCTTACATCTTTTTTCATATTGTTTAAAAAATTTCTTAAATTCTAAATGTTCAACTATCGTACTTATTTTTTTGAAACTTTTATGCATAGATATATTATAATGTGGTAAGGCTCATTAAATGCTGCAATAAATATGCAACAAATATTCTTTGGCATTGAAATCGAAAACTGCATCTTTGTCTTTAATTAAATACAAAAGAAGTAGAATTAGAACTTTTTCTTGTAAATGAATATTTAGTTTGTAGCAAAGTTCACCAAGCATAATTTATAGAAGACTCGTACATTGTGTCCACATGCTCAAAATATTTTCATCCTAAGTTGTAAACAACTATTCCAGTTGTATACTTAACGCTGTATATATCAATTAGGAAAAGGATTATTGCAATGATTTGAGAAACCTTTATAGAATGGCAGCTTAGGAAAATAGAAAAATTTAACTTCATATTGAATACATACTCTGGATCTAGGTAACCAGCTGTTCCAGCCACTGCTGTTGTTACATGAGTGTCACTTTCACTTGCAAAAATTCGAGATAAGCCAAAATCAGCAAGCTTAGCCTGCAATTTTTGGTTCAATAGTATATTGGCACTTTTCAAGTCTCTATATGTCAAATATGGGATTCCTTCATTTCATCTGATCTCAACATCGACTTTGAATTTGAACCAGTTAAACAGCAGTTTTGATGGTCTTAACTTGCATAGAGCTTCATTGGGCTGCTCATGATTTATTTGATCGGTTGGAGTTTCACAATGTAATCTTTGTTATTTTCTAAAAATTTATTAAATTTAATGATTTTTTAGATTAACCGTATTTGTGACATGTTTGTTGTATTTTTTTGCATTCTTTTAGATTTCATGGAATAAAAAGTTATATTTTATAAAAAAAAAAAAAGTAGGAAGCATGTACATAGAGGTTAAAATACCTGATAAATGTTGTCTTAAATTTCCGTTCGCCATATACTCACAGATTAGAGCCATAGCTCTTCCTTCAGCGCAATATCCGACAAATGATACCAAGTTTGTGTGATGAATCTTGATCAAGATTTCCACCTTCGTCGATGATATAACAAAGTCCGTTAGAAAAATGAGTAGTAGCAATTCTGACTTTGATTTATATGTCCTCTAGTACAATCTTCCTCTGAACGGGCTAACCTAAGGAATATAAATCACAAGCACGAGAAATTTCCAAAAATCCAAAATCTAATTATGTACTAATAATTTTGCCTCATAGAAAATGTTTGCAAAACCAGTATAATTGTGGACATATCTTTTAGATTACTTTTTCTAAACGTATTTTTTGAAAACTACATTTCTATAATACTTTTTAAATGTGATACATGTGAAAATAAAAATATAATTAAAACATGTATTTAATTTGGGAATCTTAGAAAAATTTTCACAAAACTTCTAGAATACCTATTTCACAACCGATGATTATTTACCATTCGATATAGGTAAGGGATAATTTGAAAAACCTTCCTTGAGGATTCTGACAATTTCATTGCCCTCTTTTGAGGTTTTAAAAATATCACTTACCTCTCATATCAGCAATTTGAGACCCAATGCTTATATCATTAATAGTGAAATGACTCTGCTATCCTTACAATTTAAGATGTTTTACACATATTTGAGGAGAGAAACAATTAAAAGATTTGCTAATTAAATTAACCATAATTTGAAATTAAAAAAACAACTAATTTGCTATATAAAAAGAGAACCAATATAGGGGGGCATTTTTTTAATTAATGTACTTGACAAATAAAATGAATCATATTTGATGTGCATAATAAATAAAAGGATTCAAACATGAAAAAGAATTAAGCCGTTTACAAACTATTAACCATAATTTGATTAAAAATAATTAAGCCATTTAAAAACAAAATTACCCATAATTTTATTATGTTTAAAATTAATTTGGCATTAGAAAAGGGGTCAAATGCTAGACTAGCTTTTTTTATGTTCTTAAAGATCATAAAAAATTGGATGTGAGGAGAATTTGGTTTTCCATTGTCTCTTCTTAATACCATGATGATAACAAGAATCTTAAGGTAAGTCAAAAATTTTGATACAAAATTTGTTACTTTTGGTTGCAAATGATGAAATTTTTTCGTTAATCATGTGTAACGGCCTTATAAATGAAACAATAAGTTAGATTGAATAATTAAATTAACTATTATTATAGGTGAGGAGCACTTTGAAATCAAATGATCTTCTCACACCTAAAATCATTTTTTTTGTTGCTTTTTTTTAATTTGGTAAATTTTTACAAGGAAATAGGTTTCAAGCGAGGTTGGTGATATTTTTGAAATCTTGAGGGATAGCAATGAAATTGTTTGAAACCTGGTAGAGGCTCCTGAAATTATCCCTATAGGTAAAATGGGTAGATAGTGCCAAATTGTCTTGATTACCTCTGATTGAAACTGCTTTTGTCCACGGGTTGCTGATGAAGAAGACAACATTTTTACGGCAACATTGCTGCCATCTTCCAAGCATCCAAGATAAACTATTCCAGAACCTCCCCTTCCAATAACTGTCCGAAAGGTGTTGGTAATTTCAATTATCTCAGAGCACTTGAACATTGTACTTTTGGTCTTCAATAGTTGTTCTTTCTTTAGTTCAACGATAGTACCGCCCTCTCCTTGTTCTTTCTTTAGTTCAACGATAGTACCCTCTCCTTGTTCTTTCTTTAGTTCAACACAAGTACCTAATGGGGGCAAATTTTAGACGTCATCAAAATGTTTTCTTTTCCAACTCCACCAAATGGCAAAGATTTTGGATTTTTTTTTTATACATTGTCAAAGTAAGAATTCACGCTAGTGGATTTAAATATATATTGCATTTTTTCTGTACAAATTTAAAATTCACTTTTTGAACATGTGGCATGTATCTATACATGTTAGTGTAAAAAAATTGGTACACTAACAATGTATAAAAGATTAATTTAAAGTTTTATAAAAACCATAATATTTAATAGTATATTAGCCTGTGCCTTAGCACGGTAATTTTTTTTTTGGTTAATTGTGAAGTTGTGCAACTATGAATAATTTAAGAAAAAATATTAATGGTATTCTTATGTATTCATTAATATCACTTTTAGATAATAAATTTATTCTAAGTGTTCAACTATCATACAAATTATTTAGAACTAATACACATGCTTTTACTATAATGTAAGAATACTCGTCAAAACAGTGTAGCAAATTCCAAAACATGAATAGATTTTCTATTGAAATAGTAACTAGATTTTTACAATGATGATAAACCTTGAAGTATGCATTAGTATTTAATTAAGGGATAATTTTAGAAACCTCCCCTGAGGTTTCTAATAATTTCACTTGGCTCCTCTAAGGTTTCAAAAATTACATGTACCTCCCTTGTCCATTTAAAATGACAATACTAACCTTAATATTTTTAATAAAACTCTCTTGTTGCCATGTTTATGCAATACTAACCTTAATACTGAGGATTTTTTTTTTTTTTTACCATTTTCCCTCTTATTCATTTCTCTTATATTTCATTAGAAGTATAGAAGAATTATCAATGTTGTCCCTAATATCTATTCAAATTATGTTAAACTAGTAATATTTTTTTGATAACTTTTAACATTCTCCAATTTTTTTGGTAGCAAAATCAAGGGTAAGTCAACAATGATTAAAAACAAATGGCCCAAAATCACTACCAAATTATGATAGTTCCACCATTAAACTGGTCCATAAATTTTCATTTAAAAAATAGTCCATAAACTTTAAAAGAAACAAAAAAGCACTCTCTATCTTAAAAAGAATTTATATTCCCAGTAAAACACTATGAAATATACCCTATTATAGCAAAAGATTTATTGTTATAGTTGATTATTAAATAACAAATATTAGCATGAAAACTTGATACTCTTTTTGTTTAGAAGAACAAATTGAACTTTGCAAGATAAGGGCATTTTAGAGTATTCATTAAACTTTTTACTCTATTTTAAAGTTTGGTTACCAAAGTGTCAAATCAAAGGAGGTAAGTGTAATTTTTAAAACACCAAGGGAACTAAGTGAAATAGCAAGAAACCTCAAGGGAGGTTTCTGAAATTATCCCTTTAATAAATACAAGATATGCAATAATTCATTTTCTCATGAATGAATATTAATTAGTTTCCAACATGAATGAATATTTAGGTTCTAGCAGTATCAATAAATTTACCTTTGTAACAATTTAAATTACAATAAACAAAGTTACTGCATGTGTATAAAAAAAATTGCAAATTATTAAAATCTTTCTATTATTCTCTTACAGCAAACCCCCCCCCCCTCCTCCCCTCCTTTTTTTGTAAACATCCGTTGAAGTTACTTTTTTGGCTGTAGGTTAGGGACAAATTCCTGCTTTGCAATAAATCAAGAAGGTGTTCTAATGGCCTAAGGGTGCTCTAACTCAAAATTTAGTACATTAGGACTTATTGCAGCGACCCAAAAAAAGATTGATACGTTTTCAACAATTGGACCAGAGGGTAAAAAGGCCTCTTTTGTCTTTCCAAACACAATAATTGATAAAATTACCATCCCATTTCAATTTCATACCCCTACAACCAAATTCCTCATAGCCTCATGGGCATTTCTTGTACTACATCATTGTTCCAATGTTTAAGTTAACAAAGATCTCGAATCACTCCTGTCATTGCAATTGGCTATGTTTTGAACCCTCGAATTTTATAAAATTGTATGTCAAACAAAAATATTATGCTTTTGAAAGGAGGAGTAGTGCAATTTTGAACAGTTGAGATATCAAGGAGTACCCTTCGTTGAGGCGGCTTTTATTCTGTGCTTGAAAATCGCTACCCCGATTACTATGCCAAGAAGACATGATATGGTCGGTACAACGATGCTAACGATCAATCTCTGCTTATGAGACTTCTTCTTCTTGCAAGGGCCTGATACACAAAGATCCGGGTTTCCATCCAAACTTGCACAAAAGGAAAAAAAAAAAAAAATTTAACTGAAAAGAAAAAGAACAAAAATTACATTTTAACCAAAAAACAAATGAGCAAAAATTACTTGTATGTAATTTTTTGTCTCTTTCTGGCATTATCTGGGTATACAATTCCAATTTCCTCCCACTTGAATTTAATTAGATCGATCTATTAGCAAATCTGACTCATTGATACAATCTAAAAACATTATGGGATGCTATGTCTCAAATAAAAGTGAAATATAGTGTTTGTTTATCGGAAAAGTGTGAAGAAATGAATGAAAGTTACTTATTTTTTTCTTCATAGCAGGAATATTGAAACTTTTTCTTGCATTTTCCTGCACTTTGTGTCCTACAAAATTTGCAGGGCTGTGAGGAAAATAACTCACGAAAGTTTGAATAACTGCTATTAACTGTCATTAACTTCTTATATTCTCTCAATATTTTTCTTCGTAACCAAACTTATATAGGAAACTCATTTTCACTTTTCTTTATCTCACTTTCCCATATAACTTTCCTTCTATTCAACCAATGTGTAGTTAAATAAGTCATCCTCTGGAATAGAACAAAAAGAAAAAGGGTCATGGTCTAGAATTTAAAATACCTGAGTGCCAATGCCCCGTTGTTCATTTTATCAAGAAGAAGTGCAGGAACTGAGCCTTCCAGCTTGTTTCCAGATAAGTTACTGCAAGATAAGAGAAAAACACACCTTAACAACTTCTGTTTCTTCCTTTCCTGTCCCCCATCCTTCTCTACAGAAGAAATTGAAATTTATTCTTTTACACAGAGTAACCTAAAATATATTTTTGAACCATAAAGTTTAAATAATGACAATTTAAAACATAAAGCTTCTTTTTCTTTTTTTTTTAAATATTTTTATTTATTTATGCTAATAATATATTATATATTTTTCTTTTGCATAGTCTTAAAGTTGGTATAATATATGTATATTATTTCATTATTAATAATTAATTGAATTTCTAATGATAATTAAAAACTTAATTAAATATCCCTTCAAAATATAAAGACTATATACTTTTTTGTAAACTAAGTTGATCTTTTTTTGGCATTTTAATAGATTATCAATTGAGTTTGAAATTAAGTTGCCATTTTATACACATTATATGAACAACTACATGATTATTAAGGTGCATAGATATTAAAATAAATGCTTTAAAACTACAATATTGGAATGTTAAATTTTAATTGGTAGGAAAGACAACAAAAAATAAAAGATTTTTTTAAAGAATTTAAAAAATTACTTCACATTGGTACTTACCTTAAGAAAACTATATTTCATCTTTTGTTGTCTATCCTTCCAATTAAAATTTAACGTTCTAATATTGTAGTTTTAAAGAATTTATATTTATTTATTGTGATAATAATTTAATGTTTAATATAATATATATAGGATGCCTACTTTATTTTAAATTCAACTGATAACCTATTAAATGGCCTAAAAAAAAGATCAACACATTCCTTATATTTGAAAGGGATATTTAATTAAGTTTGTAATTATCATTAGAAATAAAAATAATAAAACTCATTATCAATTAATTATTAATACTGAAAAATAATAATATATATATTATACCAAATTTAAGACTAACTTTGCAAAAGAAAAGAAACATATGATATATTATTAGCATGAATAAATGAAATAAAAATAAAAATAAAAAGAAGAAAAAGAAGTTTAATTACAACTCATGCTAAAACTCTTAATATCACTATTTAAAATTTAGGAAAATATGATGATTCAAAGTCAAAATATTTGAGACCAAAAGTGCAAAGTCAAAGTTGTTGATTAATAACAATTTGATGATGACCGTTAGTCGTTATTCTATTTCTGATAATTGTCCTAAATCTAACTAAAATCACAAATTTTGGGGATCAGATTTATTTTGAACTAAACATTCGGGCCAAACATTAGGGATCAAAACTACAATTTTTTCTCGAGGCAAATCGTGTAGGAACTTACATTGTTCTTAAGGAAGGCATGTAGGCCAAAAAATCTGGAATTGTTCCAGTCAAGTCATTGTGAGACATGTCCCTGAATAATGATTGTCGATATGAGATAGAAGTACGATATACCTAATTTTTCTTCTGTAGTCTAATTCAGATGCATAAAATGTCCAACTCTAGAATGCAAACATAAGAAGTTTTCTTCCTGCAGCCAACTGGGAACCCTTGTTTAACATAGGAAATAGGTATAACTTACATGATTATTTGCAAAAGAATTCATTGCATAAACGAAACAATTATTTGTATTTGTGGCTTACGTGACTCCAAATCTCCAATAGTAGTTGTACTAGTACCATTTCTAGTAGTTAGCTTATAATCAGGTTAACTCCAATCTAGACCTTTTAACTTTTTTTTTTTCCTGACTGGAATCTTCTTTTGCACTTCCGAAATAATTGTCTTGATGGAATAAGAACTTTCTCCAATACTTTAAAAAAATAAAAATTTCTCCAATATACTCTTTCTAGCAGTTCACAATTTACTTACAACGGTATGAAATTTGACGAAAAGAGAAAATGCCCACAATTATTGTTTCAGAAAAGTGGCAAAAGCAATTGGCCATTTTTATTTTAAAAAAAAATAAATGTATGAAATATGGCATATGGCAGTAGATATACTTACAAGCTTTGTAGTGAATCAAGTTTAGACAATGAGAATGTGATTTCATCGGCTAACCCACTGAAGGATAGGTTCCTGCATTAATTCAGTTCCGTCAACATGGTTAAATAGCAGAAAAGGATGCAGTCATCTTCACATTCAATTACAAAAAATGAAGTTTGTTGTAGAAACAGAAACTGACATTGAAATGATTCTGTATAAACCCTGATCATTGGTGCTGCAGTCTAGTCCATCCCACCTAAGTTCCTCGGGTACACATGGATCTCCTTGCCAATTTTTCTTTAGACCATACGTTAACCTAATGCTGATCATGGCGTCAACTAGAGTTTGTGGGGGAAAAAAAAAGTTAGAGGGAAAAAAATTTTACAGCTCCTATAGAAGGATACATCGTATGTACACATCATGCAAAAAAAAAAAAAGAAAGAAAGAAGATAGCGTATAAAAGGTCACAACGCCGATGAATCTGTATCTTGATTTTATATAAAATTACACAAAATTATACACGATAAATCGCTATGAGAAAGGGACAATCCTGAAATCAACCAAGAACAAAATTAATGTATATAATTCAGGGCTGTAAAGCATTCAATAGAAACCCTACGAAAATTCTTCATTTTAATGATTACTTTTTCATGTTTTCAATTGTTTTTTTGGTTAAGTATAATTGAACGAACTGTTGTAATTAGCAAAGATCTCCCAATAATTTGTATCATTGAGTATGAAGTATCAAATAAAAAATACGGCTTTAGATTTAAGCGTACCGTCACTTTGATTTGTGGGCAAGATAGGGAATTTCTTGCGGATATAGAACTCTATGGCATTGAGAATTGGAGGAAGTGTAGAATCATTTGTCATATTGATTGAGAATAGTAGGGTATCAGCACCACCCCGAGAGTATGTGCTGTAGATGGTATCTGGACCACTGTCTGGAACAACAGGGTCGGACCAGATTTTATTGTTCACATATATGGCAAACTTCCTGATTTGAGTCGATGGGAGATCTTCCACCTCGAGGAAATGCATGTACAAGTAGAATTGTTGGTTGCGATCAACATTTTGAGACAGCACCAACGAACTTCCATGCGCAGGCCTGACTGCAGTGCTCATGACGATTGGTGAAGGTTTATAGGCGTTGTCAAGATATTCTTCAGTAATGTAAGAAGTTGTGTTAATTGGTTTCCAATCAGGCCGGTAGTCAGGGACTTCCCATATACGATCATAGAAATCATCCCGGTACCTGAAAGAAATTTTAGGAATTCATGCACAACAAAAGTATAACATCTTACTACTAAATTCATAAGACTTAATTAACAAAATTTAGAAACTAAGATTGTAACTCGAAAAAGTTCGTGAAAGAATTAGTTGTCCAAATTATTCAAATGCAAACCTAAATGCCACAAAAATTTTGAGTATCAAACTCGAGTCAAGAATAATTAAGGAAAGCTTCAACAAAAAAAATGTAAAATTAGAAAACAAGAAGGAAAGTTACCAATTTTAACTAAGTTTGAAGAAACCAAATTTTCAGATCTTTTCCTGATCTTCTCAGGTCAAATCCAGTTTTTAACTAAGTTTGACCAGCTCATTGAGAAGGCTTTGACGGGGCAATTGACTGTTCATGGTTCAATCAATTGAATCAGCCAATTCTATCTGAAATTCAAAACACTGTTTAACAACTAAACTAGGCGCCTCTTGTAGTAATACTAGGAATCTATTTTTTCACGTTAATGGGAAAGTTATCTTGTTTTGCTCTGGTCTTGTTTTTGGGGAAAAAAAAAAGATGGGGATTTAGGAGTGATTTGAGGGGTCTGGGTTTCAACTTAAAGTTAACTTCGTATATAATTGAACCTTGTGCAATAGTCTTAAAATCCCGAATTCGAAAAAATGACAATTGAAGAGTTATCCAGTATTAAAAGATAGTGAGAAAGATTCGACTATTTTTTGCCCTTGAATAGACAGGCACCTGAGCTTAGTGTGGTTTTGAACACTGAAAATTCCAAACTACAGAAAATAATAATAGACATGCAGTCCTGAAAATGAAGAATTGGAAAACCATATTAATTTCGTCTAAAATGCAAAGAACAATATTCAAATAATTAATAATAGTCTTACTCATATATAGACCTTATTTACCTCTGGAATTTGTTGCTAATCGTTGAACTTGCACCTTCATCTAACCTTCTGTAGAGGATTAGCGAATCATTATACATAGTATCATAGATGGTGTTGCTCAACTCTCTTATCTCAAGTGCTGAAATAATAGGTGTTCCGGAGCCAACATTGACAAGACAGACGTGTATATAATCTGTAGGAGGATTATGTATGACTTCTTTGATCAGAATCTGAGATGCATTGTCCAGTTTTACTTCATCCCACTCATTTGCATTAAGGTAGAGTTTGAAAAGTGGTGGTTGACTTTTCAAATCATAATTTCCATACATGAAGAATGCTCTAATCAAGTACTTGTTGCCTCCGCCATTTGCTGTTGGTTTTAGCGTGTAGCAACTGCTGTTTCCTTCAGGAAAACTTCTAACAGTTGACAGCAGCTTTTGATAATTTTGAGTTTGAGACAAGAATAAATCAGATATTTTCATGTTTACTCCGCTTTCAACATATTGCGCATCTGATGTATAACTAATTCCAGTTTCGCTGTCTGTATAATCGTTACCATTTTCTATGCCACAGTCGATACTGGTGAAACCTGCAGACAAAAATCAATCATGTCATCGACAAATCTGTGCATTTGGACTGATCTATACAACCGAAATTAGAAACAATGAGCGTGTTTGGATGGGCAGTTTTTTGAAATTTGTTGAAATATCGTAATATTTTTATGATATGATGTATGTGAAATCAAAAGGTGATTAGAGAATATGTTTATGAACAATCAAATACTTTTTTACAAGTTGAAACATATCGAAACAAACCCTTAATGGCTTTGTCCCCAAGCCCTCAGAAAATGAATGTTGCAATCATTCTTTGCTACTCATAATTCGGGTTTAATTAAATCTCTAAATATAAGTACCACACTCCCTCTTTCCCTTGCGCCCTCGTCCCTTTATGATATGGCCACATGAAAGATCTATGCAATCTGGTAGGGGTGATTTGATGGTTTTTTTTTTTTAGAGGTGACAAGGAAGGGTGGAAAATAGGAGGGGTGAGGGGATGGAATGCGAGGGTGGCCAGAGGTGGAGAAAAGAAGCGGGGGGAGAGAGAGTGGAGATCAGAGGGCAGGGTAGAGGTGAGAAGAGGATGGCGCTATCATCAGTTTTAAAATCATTCCCAAAAACACTTGAAAACATTTTTAAAGCACCATATCAAATGGTTTTATAAAACACATATCTAGAGTTAAAGTTTTATGAAAAAATATTCTCAAAAACACCCATCCAAACGAGCTCTTGAATATATCTGTCTGTGCCTGTGTGTGTACCGTCGGTGTAGTTCTCCAAACTTACAGTGCAAGACCAAAATTAACGTACAAAGGCCTAAAATTCTTGACAGAAGTATCTCAGCGGAAACGAAATGGCATATAGTGGAATAACTAAATAGACGCACAATAAATTATTTAGATGTCGCTAAGAATAGTGCCTGACAATGCTTGGAGATGAAGGATAGCTGCTAAGAATATATATATATATGTATATATATATCAAAGGACTTACTGGATCTGCCTGGTATGAGTTCCCTTCGTGCATGTTCCTCAAACTTAAGCTCTTTTTCAGATAAATTGCAACCATTCATGGAAATCAGCGGCCTTTTGCCTTCTCCTGCAGCATGGACTTGCAAACAAGAAAAACATATTACCCAAGAAAGTAAGAAAATCCACACCATTGCTGAAGCCAAAATGGCGATGTTTTGTGAACTCATGACCCTGCCGAACCTGTAGCCAATTGTGTTACAGTTGCAAGAAAAAAGATGGGCTGCCAAGGGTTTAAATTTATAATGTGGTACCAGAAAGACGGTTAGTACTAGGGTTAAAAACAAAAAAACCCCCTGTGATAAACCTAATACACAGAAAAGTCTCCCATGGTTTCAAAATATACAACACGACCCCTCATGCTTTGAACTAAATTGTAAAGGTGACGGAATCCGTTAAACTTAACGGAAATGACATATTGGAACCTAAAAAAAAATTTTTATACCTAATTTTTTATCAAATATACCTATTCTACCCCTTAACTCTCAATTCTCTCTACTTAGAAAATAAAATAAATGATTTTTTGAGCTGTTTTTTTGTTGAATTATATCAGGGTATTTTGGTCATTTTGACCATTTCCGTTAAACTTAACGGATTCCGTCACCTTTACAATTTAGTTCAAAGTATGAGGGGTCGTGTTGTATATTTTGAAACCATGGGGGGCTTTTCTGTGTATTAGGTTTATCACAGGGGGGTTTTTTGTTTTTTACCCTTAGTACTATTTGGACTTGACCTCTTAACATTTATTTTGATGCACTTTGCCGGTCCCTCTGTTAAGCCATATTAGCTTTTATTGTTAATTAAAACAATGTCAGAATTTTCAATTTTGTCCTTATCTCTATTTTCCTCTATATTTCTTCTTCCTGTCCAAGCTTCTCATATCATCCATTTCCAGCAATGCAATTTTTATTTTTTTTGGAAAATAAAAAAGTAAGTTCCCATTATATTATGCTCTGGTAAAGGGGAAAAAAAAAAGAAAATCTAACTATGTGAAGTAAAATCTAACCCTCGACTTGTTCTACTCCTACGTTACGGTCAATACAGGGTTTATATACGTAAATCAAACGTTTTCCATCATGTGTTTTGGTTTGCATCAAATATCTGGACCGCAATTTCTTGTCTATTTTAAACCTGAAATTTGGAAACATTTCAGGAGAAGCAATTTTGCAAGAGTTTCTGAATACAACCCGAATACATCTTAGCAATAGCTTTTTTTTATACCTTCTACTCCTGTCCACACCCTTCCCACCCCTAATTGCTAGACTTAAGACTGAATCTAATAGCGAGAAGAAAGTATAATTTCTCAGAAGTTATAAATTCTAGAAACCTTAGTTAGTCAACAACTTACAACTCTAATAAAACTTAATTTAGTAAAGGTGCAATCAATCCCAAACAAAATTTTCATGTATTAAGCTGCAGCATATTCCAAACTTTTTTTTCTTTCGACAGCTAGATTTAATGAAATAGTTAAAAATAGACCGCAATTATTAATAAATTCTGATAAATTAAAGTGAAAAAAAAAACTCATTTAAATCTTATTTGGAAATATTTTAGGCCAACATATGTTTAATTTCATATTGTTTTGCTGTTTGGGACCTCAGGTCCAGAGAATACCGATCGTCCGTTGACTTGTTGACTTGTTCAAGAGTCCACTCCAGAGACCAGAGAAGATTAAAAATTTCTTGCACGGTCGGCCATTCACAACTTTTGCTGGGCCCCGCCTGAGAAAATCCAGGCCCATCCAGCTAAAAGCATGGGGCCCACTGGTTCCTGATTGATTGGAGACTCTGCGGTCTAATGAGATACACCATCATCTACGGAGCCCTGATAGAAAACTCACCGGGGGCACAGCTTCCATAGAAAATCTATGGACAATTGGAAAGAGAAGAATGAAATTTCTTTACAATTACGATATCATAAAATTACAAACGGCAGATACTGATAGTTTTGCTTGAAACGAAGCAGCAATTACCGGATACAACAGAGGATGTTGACATTGCCGTTCTAAATAATGATCATAGTTTTTTTTTTTTTTAATAAAGTAAGAGGTTTCGAATTCAAAATTTTTCACTTAAACTTTCTGCTTTGTAATATTCAACATATTCTTTCCCAACTAAATGATGATCACGGTATGACTATTATCATATAAAAAAAACAAAAGTGATCATATTTTGTTTGCAGATATTGGAAAAAAGCAGCAAATATTAGCAAATTAGAAGTTTCGACAATCGATTAACATGAACGTTCAATATTATGTATGGATTAATCAAAAGGAAATTATCACAAAAAAGGTGTCTCTAGACATGGGGAGCTAAACCAGAAAATCGACTTAAATGGCAAAACCTCCAATTTCCAGGTCAAGTGATTAGTGGTATCCTGTGAGGTGATTTGTTATCCAAAATTTCCCATTACAATACAACCAAGCACAATCACGACTAGAACTCGAAGGCGTCTTGGCAGAAAGGGAAGCAATAGTAAAGGGACATGACAACCAAGCAAAAGCAAAATTTCCTACCGGAAGACAACCAAGCATTCTTAACTGACGCCGACGTCGCACGAGGTCGACAAATCCAAGGGACATCACATCTCGAGAAATGATTGACAACAACTAAAAAAATAAAATGTCTAAAGTTATTAGAAGTGAAGTCAATTTGGGGATTCTTATGGTTGATTGAGCTAATGATCATGGATTGAAATTTGTCAAAAACAACCATTTTAAATAGTGCAGTAGTTTTGTAGTTTTGTTCAATTAATCTACTACCATTTTAAATACACTTTTATAGCTTGTTTATATATAATTCAGGTTGTGCTTCAGTAGTGTAATTGTTTTGGAACATATTCATGATTAAGTTCTTATAAATTGTAAATTCTACAAAGGACAATAATTACATGACCAACAGTATGAATCACAAATACAACGTAAACGAAATATTAATTTATAGTAAAATATTATCAACGGTCTATAATCAAATCCTAAACAAACTTTTCATGAAATTAAACTTTATTATACTCCAAGCAATTTTTTTCAAAAAACAAAGAAAACAATTTGCCAGTGAAGATCCATTGCGGCCTATTCATCTTAATGCAGATGAGACCGTTCGCATCACCGTCAAAGGAGATAGCACGGGCTCACTGATTATCTATCCAAAATACACCTTAAAAACACATCACGTACACTTTAAAAACAGCTATTAAAAAACACTAAAAATTAACAAGAAAAAACTCAAGGCAATCATCTTGAGGAATATCCTACAACAGGATCTGGGGATTCGCAATTTATGTTTCGTACAATTTCACACAAATTGACCTCTGGTATAAATTAATAAGATTTTCGTATAAATCAGGTCAAGTTTAATGTAAATAAGTTACAATTCAATGTATGTTGATTTGTTATTATTTGGTGTAAATTAAGTACCGTTTGGTATAAGTTAATTATTATCATTTAGTGTAAATTAAAGATAATTTGATGCAAGTTGAAAGTAAAGTATTAATTTACACCAATTTGTATGAAATGAAACTTGTGAGGCCCCGTTTACCCGACAACGTATCAGACGGAAGGTCATAACATAAAGTCAAATGAGTAAAGGCCAAAACTTAAGTACCTTAAATTGGATGCTATTTGCTGAAGAAGATAAAAGCTCAACTTGAAAATTACAAACTCGATTTGAAAAAGCCGTAATTAACAGAGAAGATGGAGGAAGATTCATGTAAATCTGTGGCCCAATTCTAATAACTTTAGTGAAGAATAGACGTGCCACAAGATTTCGTATCCATCGGGCCAACAAGTACAATTTATCCGTTCTCAATTTTATAATGCTACAAAGTACAAACTCTTCTTCATCAAAGCATTTGTTGGTCAGTAACTGCCCAACACTTTACTATCGAAGAATGAACAGAAAAGTCGGCCATCAGTGATTATAACGCCGAACCACAAAAATCACAGAAGCACTAAAATCGATCTCACAGGATCAGCCCAAGAACGATGTGTTAGGACATCATTGAGTCGTTTTAGTATTGCAATAGTAGGGTATTGAATTGATTCGTGGTGTGTTAGGACAGTAGTAGGTAGATCTAAAAAGTAAGAATTTGATTAAGGTGCACACCTTTAGCTACTAGATGAGTGAATTGGAAAAAAATAAATGAAAGTTGAGGAAGGGACTATATAGAACTCTAAGACAATGTTATGTAAAATTAAATGGTTTCACGTCCCCCACTTATTTGTTATTAAAATAAAAGGGGGTATTGTTGGAGTAATTTAACAAAAAAAATTACAATTATTATTCAATGATTTTCAATTGCAAATTTGATAACAAAAATGAGAAACTTTTCTAATGTTATTTTCATAATAATTTGACCGTTATACATGGCATTACAAGCAATAGTATTTTCAAACTAAAATTTTGTATTGTCATTAGATTTAATGTCAATTGTCAAGGTTGTACTCATATGATATTCTACCTATAAATAAATGTTCAAACAACAGATATCTTACATTATTGTTACACCTATATTTCTTACTCTTGATAAGGAGATTCTTCTACTATATTCTACTAATACTAAACTAGTTTTAGATATGTTATATGTACTAGTGTTAAAGGCACACCGAGTATGTGTGCAATTTAGAGATAATTATTATTTTTATAAATTCACAAATTTTATTTTCGCAGAAATAAATTTTAAAAGAATTTTTCATTAACAAACTTCAATTTATAAATAATTTTCCTTCAATTAAAAAATAGATAATTTGGTAGCTGGAATATTTAGTGTAGTTATGAGCAGCGATGTTGGCAAATGTGATCAAGTAATTAGGACAACAAATTAGTTTTTCTAAGGGGTAAAATTGAAAGTTCATAAAAATGACAGAAAATCTTTATACCAACTATCACTACTCTCCCTTTATATATAGTATAAATTTCATTTGAAGTAAAAACAGTATTGTGTTAAGTTTTTGTCTAACCTATTGGTATATTAGGATAAATTGCAGTAAAAAATAGGTTAGAAGCAACATGCTAAAACCTATTACATCAGATAATACTTCATACGTGCAAATTATCTTAAAGAGAGCAATCTAATCTGTGCTTCAATCCATGCAGTAAAGCTTTTATGGTATTAAAAAAAAAACACTGTTGTGTTAAGTTTTTGTCCAACCTATTGGTATGGATTAGGATAA